GTGCAGGCTCCTGTGGGAAGTGATTTTCATTAGTGTGTCGCTTTAATAAATTTATCGGCTGCCTTTCAGTTGCTAACTTTGATAAGTAGGTCTCCAGATTTAAGTTCCGTAACTTCCGTATAATCGGTGCTTATGTGTTTGAGCCCTTTTTCCATTTTAAATACATTGTATGAAGCTAATGGACCAGTAGCAGTTTCTCCAATTTTTGGACCTGTTGCTGAAGTAATTAGATACCGTGGAATATGGTCGTCGTTCTGCGTAGTTTCCGGAAGAGGTGTGAAATCATAAGTCCTTAGTCGTTTACCGTAAGTCTTTTCGCCAGAGAGGTTTACATCGGGATCTAGGTCCCGGAACCTATTCCTATTGGGGGGAGGGGGTGAACCCCATTCATTTCGCCTTGTAATAATCAGAATTTTTGAATATGTGTATATGCACTTATACAGTACTATATTATAATTACGTAGTAAGAGAAAAAATGAGTTAAACCGTATTCAGTTAATCAATGATCGCGGTAACAAGCAGGTCTTAACGCGGCAATTGCCTGAGGTAGACTGCGCTGCTGAACTTATATATGGAGAAGCTATTGAACTTCCAGGAGATTTCTTTCAACCACAACCAATTGGAGATCCTACAAGTTTCGTTTCAACTTTAAAAACAATTATGAAACATTTACAACCTGTTCCAACATCGGTGCATTCCAGCAAGACAATTTTAATTAGCAAAGACTTAAATACATGCACACACCCAGAAGATAATTTAGGTAGGCCTTCTAAAGTAAAGCCATTTTAAGAGACCTACCCAAGAAGGGTTTTTCAGCCTCCTTGCATGCCTTCTAGAAGGGGTTATTCATTTACAATTTACGCGAATGCATACATTATATTATTTAGCGTTACAAAATTATTCAACATTGTTTATTGAGCTTGAGGCCGTTTTTAATGAAAAACTATTGTGGAAAAGCAACAACAATTTAAAAAAATGGTAGAAGTGATAGCTATTTCGGAAATCACCACATTTTCTCATCAGACCGCTCAGCGGGATTCGAGCTGACTCAGCCAGTTGCCTACGCGCTGTGCTAAGTTCGCCTTATAAACTTTTGTTGCTTTTTCCACTTTTTCATGTGAGCCAACTACAATCAAGCGCAGCTATTCCAGCGCTATTTAAACTTGATCATGTGGTTGTTGGTTTTATTGGCTTTTGTTAATTCTGTTGTTTGGTGTTAATTCTATTTTGAGAATGTTTAACTTTTAGGTGTGTTCGTCCTAAGTTATTTGTTTTTGTTATTTATAACCTTTTAACAATTATATTCCACAATTTTTTATTGAGCTTGGGGCCGTTTTTAATGAAAAACTATTGTGGAAAAGCAACAATTTGAAAAAATGGTAGAAGTGATAGCTATTTCGGAAATCACCACATTTCCTCATCAGACTTCTTTCAGTAGGATTCGAACCGACGATCCCACTGACTCAGCCAGTTGCCTATGCACCGTGCTAATACGCCTTGTAAATTATCGTTTGCTTATTTCCACTATTTTCATTTTTGTTATGCCAACACAATCAAGCGCAGCTATTCCGCTGCAATTCACTTGATCATGTGGTTGTTGGTTTTGTTGGTTTGTGCTAATAATTCTATTTTTAGAATGCTTAACTTTTAGGTGTGCTCGTCCTTAAGTTATTTGTTTTTTGTTATTTTTTGGCCTTTTAACAATTATATTCAACAATTTTATAATGAGCTCGAGGCCATTTTTTAAATGAAAATTTATTGTGGAAAAGCAACAATAATTTGAAAAAATGGTAGAAGTGATAGCTATTTCGGAAATCACCACATTTCCTCATCAGACTTCTTTCAGTAGGATCCGAACCGACGATCCCACTGATTCAGCCAGCTGCCTACGCACTGTGCTAAGTTCGCCTTGTAAATTATCGTTGCTTTTTTNTTGCTGCTATTCACACTGGATCAAGTGGTTGTTGGTTTTGTTGGTTTTTGTTAATAATTTTATTTTTAGAATGTTTAACTTTTA